CTGTCCCTAGTGTACAGTTCCAGGCCGGATCAGGTGTTACAAACTCGATTTGATACAGCATAGGGCCAAAAATTTTATCTTCAAATTGAAAAAAAAATGTTATGCTAATTGGAGCTGACAATCGGACTAACCTCTGTAACTGTCATGTAGGGCTTAGGAAGCAACGATGCTCCCATCGTGGCTAAATCTATGGATGGGTTTATGCAGCGCCCGGCACAGCAGAGGCTCGTCGTTTTACCTCACGACGCGGCTGATCGCGCAAAAGGCATGCTCTTTGGCTTACAATGAGGGTCATTTAGGAAGCCTCGAAATATTAAGCATTCAGTTTCATCAATCGTTGTGACTCGTTTTTTTTTAAATTAAGCAAAATCAGACTCTGTAACCTGTCATACGGAGTACTTGGTTTCCTGCAAGATCAATGCCTAAAGGAGAGACGCCAACTTAAAAAGTGCATTGAAGGTATCCCGCTTGGTTCAATCCCTTTTATCCATGTTTAGTCTTAAAGTACAGGAATTAGAGGAGCGGAAATTACATCACTCCAGTAGGTAAAAGACAATGCGCATATGTGTTATGACCTGTATGAAAACTCCAAACAACCCTCCACAATCACGCCAAAATCTGATTGCACAAATGACTGTTACGTTCTGCAACTCGTTTTCCACTGTCAATTAAGGTGTTTAGTTAAATTGTTGGAGCTTTTTATAGTTCTGATGGCAGATGTTGTGCATAATTTCAACCCTTTAAGTGAGGTTTGCTTTGGGTTAACCATTTTTCGCCCTCTCCCCCAAGTGTGAACATTCGGTCACTTTAGCTTTTCTTAAGGGTGGATCCAAAATTAAATGTAACATTTTTGTTATGAAATACATTGAAGTGCTTGCTTTAACAGTTTTATAGAATATTTGTGTCCCTTTTTCATTCTTGTTATTTATTTATCTGTGTTAAGCCATGGTGCTGAGAGCCTCTGAAGAGTTTGAAGCTTTGGAGACCGGTGTATTTAGCGTACTTCGGCTGGGTGTGGGCTACTTTGGTGGAAAATGCAGTGGAAGGTCAGCAGAGTAGCTCAAGTGTAAATTCATGCATATTTTGGTACACCGGCACTCGATGGAGCCAATCACACAGCTCCTGTGACGTGATGAACGATGCGATATGCAAACTGCGCAACAGCAAATGCTATTTTCCAACTTGATGTGACCTCTCAAAACGGAGACTTGCGCTGACGTTTTGCCTTCCCCTTGCGAAGCTAGGCGAAATGTCGAAAAACAGACGACCAATCTCTCCTCGCGTTTATAGGAGTTATCTTGAGGGTATTTTTGGAAAGGTGCGTCATTTACCAACACCAAAATGCCATTATTTTATCCGACTCGGAACAAATTGAACCACTTACCACTGTTACATTCATAATCCTACCTCCAACAATTTTTCCACCAAAAGGTATTTTAGCAATAAGAGTACAATTAACGTAGTCTTGAGCTCTTACTTTTAGAAATGGAAATCCCTTAATTATACACTTTAAAATGGCTAAAAATTATGCAATTTTGGCTTGATTTGATCTCGAAATGTCAAAAGGCCTCTTGCACTACGGGAGCACTTCTTAAAGAGTGCCTTGTCTGTGGACACCGCTGCTGGAGTTCGAACTCCGCTTTGACGATGAGTGCATTTTGATTGTGGTGGAAGTAGGGATTTTGTCCTCTTCTCAATGTGACTGTGGCGCGCAGTTGAACTCAGCAAATCCCGCACATGGTCCCTTAGAGGACCGTAGGCAGGTGACTTATCAAAGCCACTTCAACTCGCAGCTACACCCACTGGCGCCAAGTGAAGTCAACCTGTAAACGCTCACCCAAGTCTGAGAGAGATCTTGACAACAACGGTCGATCGCTTCATTCAAACACCTCAGCTACACCTTTATCTCATGCGTAAGTGTTACACTAATGCATCAGTCCCTTGCGTAATCGCATTGCGGGCTGTTATATTTCTGGTCTGGTACATTAACACTCCCGTTCCAAACGCCTCATTTTGCAATATTTTGACTATTTTGCACAAAAATTAGGAAAATCGTTGTTGTCTTGAAATCTGGTTTATTTAAACTCATGTATTGAAAGGAGTGCCTCGAAATAGCCCTGAAGTGCTAAAAATCTGGCAAAATGTCACGTTTGAGAAGCAGCAGTGACTATATTTAAATTACACAGTGGTGTATGTAGGTGGAAGGGTATTCGATACACCTCCACATAAGGCATCCGAGGCATTCTGCCAATCTCACCTGTTTAGGAGTTCTCTGGCGCCTCCACAAGCGTAAACAGTGATTTTGTGTTTATGTGAATAAGGCAAAAGCACCTCACTACGGTACAGAGCACGCCACTCTTGCGAATCAGCGCGTTTGTCATTTGCTGCTCGACTTGTGCTGCTTCTGGACTTTCATCTATCATGTCTTAACTTGGATTATTTTTACGTGTTCATCACACTTTTAGATGCCGGTTAGCCTAATGAGGGAAAAAAATTTTCTCACTCATGAAAGTGTAAAATAGACGAAGCCTTAAATATTAGCAGAAGATGACATCCTTCCGGTAAGAGAGCAATAATTCGTGGATTTTCATGCAAGAGCGGAGGAGTCGAAATCCCTACATTCGATCCTAAAAATAGCCGCATGCAAACAAATTAAATGTTGCCAATGACGATGCGGATTTAATGGATTAATGGGGAGTCGTCAAGTGGAGTAGACGTGAAGCATGCTGGAAGACATTGTTTTTGCTATCACGATACACTAATGTGATCATCGTGGAAAATTTTGCTTCGAATGCGTGCATTCGCGCACACATCTGCCTCAGCGCTTACCATCCAGTGATGAGGCCCTCGCATCTTTTGCACTGCCAAGTCCCCCTCCCATGTGCAACGGCACGTGACAGGTTTGAAGTCGCACCCTGAAAGCTTGCTGAAACCTCCACATCGATAAGCCAGTGAAAGCTGTGATGTTGCCCTGATGAGATCTACAAGTTTCGAACTCCTAAATGAATTCGAGTTTAAAATGTCATCGGGGATGGCGATTGTGTGTGATTAACAGATGTGTAGAACACAGAATTGGTAATTCTCGTTAAGTCAAATGGACCGATACACAAAGTGGGAGTGGTCTTGGGTTTTAAAGAACACGCATTATTAATGTACAGTGAAAAAATTGTAGTCTCTCTAGTTGCGTGGTCAGACAAGATTCAAACTTTGAAGTTGAAATTGACCTTTGGTCTGTCCATATCAAAAGGCCAAGAGTTTCGCTTTGGTGCAAAGACTTGGTTCGCCATTGTTGAAATGAATGATCCCATAATTTGAAAAAATTAATGTGGACTTTCTATTTATAAACACCTTTCTTGTGCACCTCAAATGAAAAAGTGATGAGATGAGGAATGCGACATATCGTATAAAGCCTTTTCCCTGGACCGCAGATTCTCCATCTCCTATTTCAGCTGCTGCATGTGATGAGCGATATAAAATAGGTGTTGAACGTATTCGAAGCTGGAGTGAGGGAATGAAGCTTAATCATCTTCCGACACTGACACATTCCTTCTCTCTCACTTTTAGCGATGGGTTTGTGCAAAGGTATTAAAATTAGCACCTTTACACAACAGTCTTGTTGCTTACCCAAGAAAAACTCCTAAATCTCAAGGCTTCTTGACTGTTCACTGATCGGGCTTACCGACCAAGCACGAATTTGAAGCAGCGTCTATGTTTAATTTACTTGCGCACCTCCTTTGTGATTCATACGAAAAAGCAAATATTAAGTTAGACAAGATTCTGCTTCCAAAGCTGGGCTGTTTAAATGAGTGAAGATGCTACACTTTAAGCAGAGAAATGAATGAAATTGATGAAATTGTGAGACAAGTGCACAGCCAAATAGGCTGATCCAATTCTATAATTTGCTGCATTCCATCGTATGGTAAAAAAGGAGGTTCGCGCTGAGTCGATTCTTCACATTTTAATTCCTCTCTTAAATGAAAGCGGGAGCTCATAACTTGCATGGATGCATTATAATCCCAGAACGTTCTTAAATTCTCCCCAACTCTAGCCTTTTTGAGGGGATGAATGGAGTAGGCTCATCATTTGCGCATTATCCCGTAAGACACTGCAGTTAAGGGTCCGCATTCGGACAGACAATAATGGATTTTGCACAGTTCTCAAGAGAATCCCTTTTAACATTTCGAGAGAAATCGATAATGGTATCTACACACATAAAAGGTATTACCCTTAATGAACGTTGTGATTTTTCAAGGAGTGTGGCGGGTACTGCTGAAACTATTAAGGTGCCAAGAAGACTTGTCGTTAGGTGCTTAGGTATTACTTGTTCATAGGTGAGTTCACGCCCATGGGCTTTGAATTGCGAATCTGCAGTTCTATGTCAACATTTGACTGCCCAAATTGAAGTCAAAATGAAATCAAGATATGTTTCGGAGAGTGGTTTGCAGCAGGGTCAGACTCGAAATAAATTAAAGATTTTCCAAGCCTTCTCGATCACTAAACCACCCAAAGTGCATGAAACTCAGATTTTTACATCGGTCGTCACCATCTGTGTAAGCAGTCTTTGCAGTGGAAATTTAGAGCGATTTGATAGTCATATGAATTTCATCCGTTGGATATAATGCTTCATCCACAAAACCTCTTCACTTTGTGATTACTTTGCCCAAAGGGACTTTGGTCTTAATTGTCTTAACAATTATCTGATTAGTTTTAGATGCTGATAAAGGACAATCATCCTAATCCTCGTTGAAACATGAAAATAAAATTGCAATAAATTTGGATTTCATAAATTTTTAAAGCTGAAGGCAGAACATTAAGTAGAGGTGCTACTTTTGAACAGATTGTTTTGTAAAGCGTGATAATTCCTGCTCCACCAATCACCGCTCTAGAAGGGTGTGCGTGCCTTAGTGCGTCCGTGTGCTTTCCTCTGATTGATCAGTTAGTTGAACGTCGCGTACATATTCTGGAGAAGGCCGCCTGCGCGGCATTACGCTGAACAGAACATGACTGAGAGGAAGGTAAAGATCAGGGAGAAGATCAGCCAGACCGAGCCGAAACTGCCTGATGCGGTCATTCCGGAGGGCAACTACGACGATGACCTTGACCTTCCTGCACACGGTAATGGGGAGGCAACGGCTACCAAGATGAAAAATGACTCCGAGGTAAGCTCACTCAAATCCATATTGAGTAAATGTGTTCAAGTTAAGAAGCAGGAGTCATTCACGTTTTACAGAATAACTTGGGTGCTCAAAAAGGCGTTAGGTTTTTCTGTCATGAATTTTCAAGAAATATTTTAACTTTGGGCTTTCCGTGCTTTTTAATGCCATTCTGGATTTAGTTCCAACCTCCCATATGTACTGCTTTTTATCGCCGTGTTATTGTAAAACTACATTAATATCTCTCAAAGCTTAACTAAGTATCCGCATCCATCTGTCAGAATACATAGCTATCTGGTCAATTTTTGTTGCACCACTCTGACTTTTCCTTTTGCGTTATGCGTATAACGGCGTTTTGATCTGCTTCCAAAGTTAGGCAATTTATTGGCTAATTAAAGAGCTGGAATTGGTCAGTAATGAAGCAGAACGGTGAGGGTGTTAAGACTGTAAGGGAGCTCAGTTGATAGTGTAGCTGACTGTAATGAACGTCCATAAGCCAGTCATTTTATTGCGCAGGCGTCAACTATTACCGCCATATTGTGAAGCAATGATGGCTTAGAAGTATGATCAGATTGAATGTGAAAGCCTGCGATGCTGCTTTCCTTGCACAACAAGGCTGTCGTGTTTGTGAAATCCACATTATGGATAGTGATTATATAAGACGTAAATTTGTGGAAGCATGATTAACCATCCAACTACCTGAAATATCTTTTCATCAAAGCATTCCTTAATTCAAACGGCATACTTTCCGCGCATGTATTCAGACATATTCGAAAAGAAACTCATCAAAGCTTCTACTATGCATAGGCCTGATTTGTTCCTAGTAGAATGTTCAACAATATGTGGCGCCTTTTTTGTTTCAACCACATTTTGAATGCACCAAATGGTAGTCTGTTCATATTCTGCACTCAAAAGTATGTCAACCGTGTGTTGGTCTGATGGGCGCCATTAGCATGGCTCTCAGAGGTCATGTCTAGTGCTAGTGCATCACATGCCTTCTTCCTCGTCTCATAGTCCGGTTGTGGCAGCAACACAGTAGCGCCTCGATGCTAGATCGTCAGCAGAGTTTTAGAAGGCCTAAAGATATGCATACTTGCGTAGAGTTAATTAAAAATAATTCCGCTTTTGGAGCATTTATGGGGCTCATTTGCACTACCTATCAGGCAGTAGTGGCCAGCCCTTGCTTGTCTTGACAGGCATCTTGGCTTTGATTACATTTCTAACTTGCAGTAAAACAGTATAGATGACATCCATTTGGAATTTTTGTGCACCTTTGACTCTGTTGTAGTGACAAGGTCATTTACTATGCAGATACTGACTGTGAACTTTGCTTGGCATTATTTTTCATTACCAACTTAGACTGCAGAGCGTTGCGAAATGAGCTGATCATTTGTGCCAAAATCATCCGCTAGTCCTACAAGTACCCTCACACCAGGTCTTAATGTCACCTCATCCTGACAAGTCAAAATGTGTTAAGTGTCCCTTTTGACAAGTGTGAGCATGCAGATTTCACGTTTCCCTTGACACAGCTGTCCGCCTTCTTCCTTCAAACTAGCAGTCAGGTTGAAAATAACCGTCCAGCAAGTACTCTTACCAGAAAATGGAGTTTTCTTTGGAGGTTTGGTGGTGCTAAAAGGTGAGTTTATTGGAGTCGCAGCAAAAGAAAGCAATACGGGAGAACTCGTACCAGGAGACAATGGGCATGCCCTCAAAGCCATGGCACAAAGCGTATCTACAGCCCCCAGAGATTGAATTGTTCACACTGTTCAATACGCAATAAAACAAAACATCAAATTACTGCATTCTCTGGGTCCATGTGGCATTCGAATGCAAAGCTAAGCTATTGATCCCTCAACAACATTGGGGAGGAAGTAACTTCGAATTGTCAACACGTTTTAATATAGTTAAACGTAAAATGCCCCATTTGAACAATGCTGCCACATTTCACTTCCGCAAAACGCAAGTAGTTTTTATTGCGGACCTTCTGTCCCACCTGCTGACCTTCACAATAGTGACCGCTCACACCAAGATAAACAGCAGCGTAATCAACGCAACATGGAGTACTCATATTAGCTGCAAGCAGCTTATGGCAGCATGCTAACTCGGAAACTACTGCGCAAGTGGCGCTTTAGTCGTATGACCATTGGATTGACTGAAATACAATATTTTTTTACTCTCATAGTGCTGCTTCATAAAACAGCATTCATTTTCGTTTCTTTTTTCACTCATTCTTTCTGCCTGCACAAGCTGTCCACAAAATCGCTTTAATGGATGGAATTGTAGCTGCTCCCAGTGGAGCGTCATGTCCTCGAAGGTTATCAAATTTGCAGTGGACTACATTGGAGACATTTCCTGATGCCTGATCGTTTCGCATGCTCGACCGCGGAAAGCGGAAGGAGATCATTAAGACGATTATGCTGAAACAATTTGGGCACCGAATATCGCCAAAATGCAGCTGCCACTGAATTACACATCGTATTCTTTGTCGGTTTATCGTTTGAACATGATAAAATCCACGTTCCTTGTTCCACTACTAAAAGTTTTACCAAACCTTTGCCAATGGTTTAGAGGAGGCAAAAGAATGGATTTTTTCATTTTTACCTGGAAATGACACTTACGTTTTGCTAGCAATCAGTTTGACTTGGTTGAGAGTCTTTGCCTGAGCATTGATGTCAGCGCATCACATGATCCTCGAAATCTTTTCTCTGTCACTTTCCCACTCCAGGCGAGTTATTTGTGAAAAAGTTGTGTCGTTCACATTCCCATAATTCGTCGCTTACTTTGAAGTAGTCTAACACCTCAACTACACATTTCTTTAGCACATGCAGCTCCTCCTGCTACAAGGAATGTTTAGTGAACTTGACAGTCTTCTTGAAAGTATTGAGGCTTTAAGCCTTAGCAATACGACCAGGATTCCAGTTAATCACTGCATTATTCCTCAGGGCCTAGCTAAATTGTTGTGCAGGAATTGTCACTAACGTTTGCCTTATTTCAACTTCTCACCCAGGATGTTGATGTCGAAACCGCCAACCAAAATCCCAATGAGCGTGGCGGCTGGGGCCTCAAAATTGAGTTCATTCTCTCCTGCGTTGCCTTCGCTGTCGGATTGGGCAACGTTTGGCGTTTCCCTTACCTCTGCTTCAAAAATGGTGGAGGTGAGCGTATTATTTTGTGCTAACTTTGAGTACCTTTATTTGGCAAATAGAAATAATCGCATGTAACCTTTTTTTTGTAACTTAGGTGCTTTCCTGATCCCCTATGTGATCATGCTGATTTGTCTGGGTCTCCCAATCTTCTTCCTAGAATTTGCCTTTGGACAGTTTGCCAGTTTGGGTCCCATATCCATTTGGTCCATCAGTCCACTTTTTAAGGGTATGGTGACTTTTTACGCATTACTCGAACGAGGAACCATGTTTAAATGTCAAATTCCTCTGCAAAGCACCTATTCAATTACTTTTCATTAAAGGCTGTATCGTTTCAATTTGACAGCAAATCATACGTTCTGGCTGTTTCAGGTGTTGGCTACGCAATGACGACTGTGTCATGGTACATTTCCCTCTACTACAATGTCATCATCGCCACAGGATTTTTCTACCTTTTTGCCTCCTTCAATAGTCATTTGCCTTGGTCCTCTTGTGACAATTGGTGGAACAATGAAACTACCTGCGTCCCCATTGGTAAGGCTCTACTTCCGTCCTTCTACGCATTCATATCAATCATTTGTTCACTCACCCTCTCTTCTCTTAATTAATAGTTCGATTGAACATTTAAAGCCGTCTTTCCTGAAGACACTTTGAACACGTAACACGACGTCTTAATCTGTTTCTAGGCCAGTCTAAGAATCAAAGCATAGGCAATACTACGTCTCCGGCTGTGGAGTATTATAAGTAAGTAGGTTGTTTGCACTACAAACACCCCCCAAGTACCCCAAACATGACACAGGACTTGTGGAATATCCTACATTGGTTGTTTGGATTTCAGCAACTACGTGCTACAGAAATCAAGCGGTTTTGAAGATTTTGGTACTCCTGTATGGCACCTTACGCTATGCTTGCTCTTCTCTTGGATCGTTGTGGTTCTTAGCCTAATAAAGGGTGTTCAGTCACTAGGGAAGGTGAGTTCAAACTCCATATTTCCTCTTTATTGCCACTTCAATTAAGGGTGTGAGAAATCTCACTTCTTTTAATGCTTAGGTATCCTATTTTACCGCCATCTTCCCTTACATCATGTTGACGATTCTCCTGATCAGAGCAGCTACTTTGGAAGGCTCACTTGAGGGTGTGAAGTATTACATAACTCCAGATTTCTCGCGGTTAAAAGACCCTACTGCATGGACCGACGCTGCGACGCAGATAATATTTTCTCTGAGTTGTTGCAATGGTGGTCTAATCGCGATGTCAAGCTACAATAAATTTAAGAACAACTGTTACAGGTTAGCTGCCCTCTCCTCAGCAAAATGGGCGCCTTTAACCGAGCTTATCATAAGATTGGCTAACTTTGGTTTAAAGACGTTGTTAGGAAATTTCGTACTCTCAGTTCAAAACCAGTTTTGGACCCAAAATCAAATTTACAACTTGTCTGTTTTTGCTCAAGAGACGCTGTTCTTGTGGCTACGATCAACTGCCTAACTTCAGTGTTTGCTGGATTTGTGGTCTTTTCTACTCTCGGCTTCATGGCTAATGCGAAGGGTGTCCCCGTGGCGAATGTTGTTGAGTCAGGCAAGTGGCAGAGCGACATAACTTATCTGTTGGGCTGCCTCTTTCCGATTTGATACATTATAGTTTCACAATATGTAATTTAATGACAAGAAAATTTGAGGTGATTGGACTGATGAAGAATTTTAAAGGAAAATAGAAATGCTTCCGCCTTATGCGACCGAATTTTAACAGTACGCACCGGTTTATTTGAGCTGAATAAGCTCAGAGATCTGCGCAATTCGACCATTGGTTGGCAATCAAGGTTAGACCTGCCACCATATGGCCAATGAGACGCGAGAGAATAAGCGAATGCTATCCAAACCGGCTCAACAAAGCCTCCCTTCTGATTAATAAGTTAATTTTTATTATTGAAAATATTGGGTAATTGTCTGAAAACCACACCCACTACTCCATTCTGCATTGCGAAAGCGCTACCGTTTATTAACTGTCTTCACTGAAAAGTTTAAACAATTGTGCTGAAATAAACACATAATTCGGTCACGGAAGTAAGAATCTAAGATCTTACTAAAGATGATTCTGGTGCACTTCACGGAACTCTTAGGAAAGGAATTGAGTTTGTGCAAAGGTTATGAGGCTTCTAGACGAAAACGAGTTTGACTTGTTTAAATTCTCTCGTAGGTTTACATCGTATAATCGTTAATTTCTTCTTTAGACTAGCATTACGCTTTTCAAACGAATTTAACTGTTTTGAACTACCTTCTATATATCTTTGACAACACTCAGGTCCAGGATTGGTTTTCATGGTATATCCTGAAGCGTTGAACCAGATGCCAGTTCCCGTGCTCTGGTCCATTCTCTTCTTCATCATGTTGGTCTCGCTTGGTTTGGGTAGTGAGCTGCCCTACGTGGAAACTGTACTCTCGGGATTCCAAGATGAGTTGCGCCGCTACAATTTGCTCACCACTTGGAAATCACAATTCCTTTTCAGGTGGGCAATACTACTTTGAGAAGCGTGGAAATGTTCTACTTACGAATATTAGTAGAACATTTTTAGCCTCAGACTTCGCATTGCTTACTTCTAGAGCCTACTAAAACGTCATACCTAAGAACTGAGATTCTCGAACACTTTCCTTTTTTAGAGCTATTTTGTGCTCGATCAATTTCTTAATTACTCTGCCGATGGTATGCAATGCTGGTGTTTACCTTGTCAACTTGATCGATAATGTAATGTCAGGCTACCCCGTGCTGATCATCTGTCTGATGGAACTAATCGTCATATCCTACGTCTATGGTAATTTTTTTACTGTGGCTGTATTCGCTTTGTTCTACTAGATGTACGAACTTTCTTTGTATTTTCTTAAGGTATCAAACAATTCATGAGAGACGTCAAATTGATGATTGATTCAAAACCTAACTGGTACTGGCGAATATGCTGGATGGGTGTTTCACCCCTCATGGTACTGGCACTGCTCATCTTCATGATTGTGGGAGGTAAACCGTACAGCATGGGTGATTACGTCTTCCCCAATGGAATTCAAGTAATGGCCCAGCTCATTGCTATTGTCCCGGTCCTCATGATTGTCGGATTTTTCGCCTACAAGTATTGCCGGGATGGCGGCTGGATCGTAAGTAGAGCCTTGAGATTCCCCGGACCATTGTTACATAGCTAACAGAACACCATGAGTTGGCAAAATGTTGTTTTAAGGTCTGTGTCCGTGGACATAGAAAATAATTAATTTTGGGATTTGTTTGCGTTTCTCAGTGACATTTCGAAATGGTTATGTTTCACAACACCAAGGTGGTATCACTTGTGTTTAAGGCGTTTTACATCTGGTCCAAAGTAAGAGTTCGGTCAGTTAGTTTTCATGTCGCGAATAGCCAGCTGCGCTACTTGTTGACAGTGGGACTCTATTAACTATTCACATGCATTGTTTTTGCAGCTCTTGCGCGAGTTCTCGAAGCCCGTAACAGACTGGGGTCCAGCAGAAGATGAGCATAGAACAGAATTTCTTCAAGGCATCTGCGAGCGCACTCTGGGCTACGTGCCCTCTGATCTGCGGGCGCCCGGGGAAGGCGATGGAGGAGAGGAAGGCGTCGACGGTGGAGGAAACCATCTCAACGTCTCTCAGGTGTGGAGCACCGGTGCTGGTGGGAGTACAGCGGCTCTTCGCAATGCCGCCTCTTGCCAGGCTCTTCACTCTCTCCTTAATGAAGGCGAATTTTATCAGAGCAAACTCAGCATCGCCGAGAAGATGGCTGAACTACATACCAAAGATCTTGTCAAACAAGGTGTTCCCATTGAACTTCTTGCTTCCACTGATCGGGTGAGTCCAGATCCGCCACAGTCGGAATTTCTCTTGAAGTTATGGCATACGATTGAATTGCACGCATGAGCAAGATCTTAAGAACGATTATGTAACAATTACACACTGAAAGTTGGCTTCGATCACTAAAGCATTGCAAGTCGATTTGTAAGAAATAAACTCATAGAGGTGGTGCAAATTTGATTGGTTTTCTTGAAAAGCAACTCCAGGTTGTGCACAGATTATTTCTGGCTTCATGTAGTGAGAAAAAGCTTAAAAGGCGCTACTGCCTCATTTTGAATGCTATCGTGATGGAAACCATGTTTTACCTCGTTTTCAGGTCTCCACATCTAGATTTGCATAGTTTTTGGACATTGAATAATATTAAGGAATCACAGCCTATGATTACGAGCATTGCCACTAGAAGTGGGAGTAGAGATGTTGGAAAAAAAACTCGATTTTTGCTTCTATTACCTGATGGACTAATTGTCTTCTCTAGTTAAAACTGCTGACAAACTCGGTTGAGGAGTTGCGAGAGCATGGTGAACAGGACGAAGAGAGCGGATGTTCCGATCATGATGACAAGGATGGAGAGATGATAGGAGAGAGGAAATCCTCCAAAGTGTCCCATCTTTTGCGGCGGATACACCGAAAGACCAGCAGCAGTGACATTAACTTGCAGTGATGCCAGCATGTCTTACCGAAATATTAATTTCACAGCCGCCAGCAAGGGGAATATATCGTTGTATTAAAAGTCCCTACCTCACTTCCCTTCCCATTCCCCGCCCTTGTCCAAGAAATCATTCCTGCGGATTAGTCTCGCCATCACTACTGCCTCCAATTTGGACTGATGTGATGATATATAGTAGAGAATTTCTTAAAAATATGCAAACCGTATCCGTCCGAATTGTTGACCTACCCTTCGCCCTTCGTTTTAAACTGTTGTGATCCCTGGCTTACGTCAGCGTTAAAGTTGTAGTTGCGCCTTAATCAAATACATCAGAACCATTTTTTGATCATTAGTGCTGAGGGCTTTGCATATCTGCAACCTCTTGACTCTTCAGTTAAAGCAACAAAGTTTCTTCCCTCCCAATATTTCAACCTCGAAAGCAAACTCAACCACTGCATCAACGACATGGCGATGCCAAAATTTTTCCCTGAAATAGGAAATAGAGTCAAAAAAAGCTCAGTTGAAGGAACAACGATTATCTACTACGATTATCAGTCATTTGATACCCTGTTCGCCTGCAATGACACTCTAGGCAAATGGGATCCAGATGGGTGTTGGCAGAAAAAAAGTAGAAAGAAGTAAGAAGGACAAAATACAAAGTAAATCGGCGCGAGTTGTCTCGATCCTTGCTTTGTTCACTAGCTCCAACGTTGAGCTAGGGTTCCCATGGTCTGGAGAATCATCAGAACATCCTGTGTCCATTATTCCATCCACTTAACGAGAGCAAACCTCCAAAATCAACAAAAATCCTGTGACATCCTAGTGAAGATTACTGATATTGTGAGCGGCTTCAAATGTACTGAATGCACATGGGGTAGGTCTCTGTAGCTCTTTAATATTTTGCCTACCTAATTGTGTGCTTAACGGCGTGCACACCTCAGTAGCTGCAGATTGCACATAAGCTCTGCAGCGTGGCCCTGCACTTTGGTGATATAGCTGCGTCAGGAGTGACCTGACTCCACAATGTATTGTGAGGGTGTAAGAACGAAACGTTACTGCCTGCGAGAACTCAAGTGCCGTATTAAAAAACATACAAATTCAGGCAGTGCACGCTAAGGAATCTTGATTTATCAAAAGCAGATTACAAGTAAAAGGTCTATAAATAATTTACTAATATATTCAAGAAACCAGTTAAGAGAAGAATTATTAAAACAAGCATTTAGGTGTCATGCCCTATGATACCAAAGGAGGGCATAATACCTGGACAGAAAGAGGTGTATTTAGCAAAAAAGAACCAGACCAGGGTCGACGACTGTCAAGAACCTATCCCAATCGGCTAGGGCCACGCCGCTGCACAAGTGACAAAATTACAGTCCGATGGTCATACGAAGTGGAGCATTTTGCTGAGGGTATACGAACTTGATTTACCCTAAGGCGATTATAAGCTCAAGCTTCAGTTGCAGTCGAATTAATAACTCATTGAACTGACCGCAGTAGCTTAAGTCAGCTTTTTGAAAAAGTTTCCTTACTGATCCTCAAACCAATTAGCAAAATAGCCTTATTTTAAACATTTAATTAACACTCTACCCAAACATAAAGTAAATGCAATCCATGTTTTAATAGGCTAACTGCCACGCGCTGGGGATGCTCTGAACTCTGCATTGTCTTCAAGTCGCATCCTTTGAGCTTGGGGGTATCGGCAGCATGGCCTCGATCCCTAGGTTCAGTGTAACTGGGCGTTATCGTACGATGTAATTGCATTCATTATGCTCTTTTAAGGGGAAAGTGAGGAATCTTCAACTAAAAATGGCGCCAGGTTTTTTGCAGGAGGCGATTCTGCTAATGTGAATCTGACCCGAACTGAAGAAAATAAGGGTCGTCCCGCTACGGCTGGTTCTCAGGTACTAATATGCTTATTTTTCGGTCTGTTTGTTATGCGTGGTTCCGTAGTTAGTTAGTACTTTCTTGATATTTGACAGCTAAACACCGTTTGAATGTTATTGCTTGGTGTAGCCTCTATGAGCACATTTCCCCTTCTTCAGCAAAGTCCTGCCCTGTCCGCAAGATGGGTTGTTATTTTAAAATGCGTACTTTTTCAACTCCTAACTAGCGCGATTCACTTTGCCTAATGTAAAAACACAAACAAAGTTCTTAGGTACATCTGGACTCAGAGTTTGCTTATTTTGGTGGTTCTTCACATTTTTTCGTAGGATCATTCTGCTAAAATCAGTGAGCATTTGAATCGAACCATGTTTTGGCATTCTCGGTTTTAAGTATTTTTACTTTAACTACTCTTCAATAAACCGTGACCTACCGATTCCAGAGTTCGACGAATAGCTTCCGTCACTTGGTGCCCTGATAAATAACCCCGAAACATTCTTAAGATCCAGGACCTTCTTCTTCTTGTTGACTGATTCTTTTCATTGATAGTGTTACAGTGTACCGTATGAATTAATTTGCATAACCTTTCAACGATTGGCTCTATGCTAATTGAGCCAACTCAGGATCCACCAACGCGCTTAAGTACATACATCTAGTATAATGCACAGGAGACCGCGTCCGTTTCGAAATCTTTTGCCCAATTTGCTTCAACGCCTGCGTCCCAGCGAAGCAAACGACAAATCCTCCAGGTCCTCCGATGTCAGTGGGGATGGAACCAACTACACTGACTCTATCAGCATGTTTTCAGTTCCCACCTCATATACCGGAGGCTACTACGACCACGTAGATGAAGAATCTGAGTCTCTCTTGACTGTCTCCGATCTGGAAAGTTATCGACTCAGGCGTCCACAACGTGAATCGGAACCTTGTTATGCGGAGTATGCCAATGTCGGAGGGGTCGGTGAAAAAACACCTACTAATTCTCCCACTCCAAAAGCCTCTCCAAAATTGACTAAGGCTCTATGGGAAGTAGGGAAAGTAGGGGATGTTCCGGGAGAAGTTAGGGGAGAGCAGAAGCCGAAGGGCAGGTCATCACCGAAGGTTGCCAGACTGGAGAGCATGCGGGATATGCATCGACGTATGAAAACTCTCACTCATGTGTTCCCCTCTTTCGTACTAAATTCACAGATGGAGAATGTTGAAGAGGTAATGAAGTTTATTCATCTTGCTTATTTCCTTTCTCAGCCCGATGAGGACGCCAAACTTGGATTTGCAAACATTCCGGACCAAATGCATCGTAAAGCCGTGAAGAAAGGATTCAATTTCACTCTCATGATTGCTGGTATGTGAAACACATCCATCCTATCGTTCCATAAAACTTAGTTTTGAGCTTTAAAAGTAATTTTTTTAGGAAAGTACTGTAGCTGCCCTCATCCAAAGCATGTGACAGAGGCATTAACTACAGTTGGTATTAGCAAACGTTGTGCTCTTAAAGAATTCAAGTTACTGTTTCATGATACAACTAAGCTCTTCTGACGGTGTGAACATTTGTTTATTGGGTTAATATTCATGCACTGCAGAATACTATATATATTTATATTTATATATTTATATTTATATATTAGATTCAAGTTGTTAGGGTAGTAAGCTTATAAACCAAGGCAAGTAAAACCGGAATTACAATATATGGTTCTTCTTAGACTAGTGCAGCTCATGTGGTATCGCTTTGCATTCACTCGTGCGATTCTGCCTGTTATCCGACACCAATAAGGTCTTTGTAAGGGATATCCAGTTGTCCCTAGCAGGCATTGAAGCATTCCACTACGCGAGTTTCATCTCATGTTAGCCAAAGTACTTCATAGATTTAAATGAATCGCCTAAGGAAGGCCTTGAAGAAGTTGCATTTCAGTGTGGAATAGGCTCGAAAAATGTAAATTTATAAGGTCGGAGTAGTTGGTTTGTTGTCCAGCTGATCTTCACATCTCAGCCTGAGGTAATCTATCACCAAGTGGGTATTAGAAGAGTTATAGTTCGAAATTAATGTCTTTTTCATCCGCCCTTCTCAGGTGAGAGTGGTTTGGGCAAGGCCACTCTGGTAAACAGTCTCTTCATGCAGGACCTCTATAAAGACAGGGAGCTCCCTGACGCCAATGAGATGGTCAAGAAGGCAACAAAGATCGAGAAACGCCAAATTGAATTGGACGAGCGAGGTGTAAAACTGCGTCTAACTATCGTTGACACACCCGGTTTCAACGACGCCGTCAACGCGGAAGATTGGTAGGTTTCAGCCCTCGCGTCACAGTAGTTTTGGCACTTCTTTCATGGGAACTGTAGCAATTTTTTTAGCCTTGATTTTGTAAAAAATTCTGGGGTGTCATGAATTCACTTCCTCTTTTCATTCACATCTTGCATTTTTAACGATCATGTGATAAGTTTCGTACGTCGTTTAAGAGGGTTCCCTTGCTGAAAGCATTTTAAAACGATAGTTTCCTAGCTGCTTGGTGTTTCGTTACTGTAGCTGGAAGCCAATCGAGGACTACATCGACAGCACATTTGAACAATACTTCAAGGATGAGTGCGGTTTAAACCGTAAGAATATCCAGGATAATCGTGTTCATTGCTGTCTCTACTTCATCTCACCTTATGGCCATGGGTACGTCATCCTTTTTCTTCGCTTTTTAATTGTCCCATTGAGCTAGAAATAACGCATCAGTCCTATTAATAACTACTGGTCTGTGAGGAATGCTTGGTCTAATAATTTGACGTCCTTTTCTGGCATCTCGCATCAAACTCAGGTTTATTTATGGAAGGACAAAAAAAACTGCTACTCGTCTCTTGCCTTCCCCTTCTCCATCATCATCACAGTGAAACTCGGTTTATGAAGAGAGCCTTCAGTTTAATTGTGTTCACGCGCTTTGTGTGCTTTAAAATGCAAATTGAGCTTGTAAATCTCATTTGTCTTTCATGCGCAAAAACACGTACAAATGAACTCGACCTTGTATGTGTAATCGTCTTCGTCTTGACTTCAGTAAGATTCTGTCGAATGCTTTAGCAATCGAGTCCTTTATGCTTGTCGGAGCTCGCTTAACTCGATTTATGTAATCCGGTTTTGCGAAATCCTTTTTAAACCAAAGCAGAGGCAACTTGATTTAGTGCTATCGGAATTATGAACTATACGTTTCAGTCAGGCTTTGAGGATCTTCCATCCAGTGGGCTGTATCGTAGTATTTCGGTACTTTGGGTTCCTAAACTTTAAAATGTTCATTACTATGCTTTGTTTACCACTCAACATTCAAGGAAGCTGAAATCTGCTCAATACAAATTCCAGCCATCAAATACGGATAGTTATACCTAACAGGAACTGTTTCAGAGCAGTGCTGTTGTTATTGCTGCTGCCATCAGCAATTGGTCGTTCCATGCAATTTTTTGACTGATTTCTTATGGAATGCACTGAGGAAACAAAGAGACTTTTCCATGACTTAAAGATGGTCTCTAACTTTTTATCAATCTTGTATGGTTAGGAGGTTAGCCTCTGCCTTGTTCATTTGGCCTTCTGTTTTTGTTTTCCAGAAGTGGCATGTTGCTTGTCATACAATCCAAGTCTATCATTATAGCTGAAGGTTAACTCAAGCTGTTTTTCGACGAGGCAATCTAAATTAATACCCCTTTGGTGTTTCTAGATTGCGTCAGGTGGATGTGGAGTTCATGCGACGTCTGCAAAACAAGGTAAACATAGTTCCTGTGATTGCCAAGGCAGACGCGCTCACCGCTAACGAGTTGCGTGCCCTCAAGGAACGCATCATGTCCGATTTGGACCGGTATAAAATCGACATCTACCGACTTCCCGAGTGCGACTCTGATGAGGAGGAGGAAATCAAACGGTTAGACAAGGAAATTAAGGTGCCTCATCTTTCCACTCATCACATTTTTTCGCTATCGTCACTCTTGCCTCATCACAGTTGGTTGTCTTTGCTGGTCAATCCACCAATCTTTGCGTTGTTTTTTTTTTTGTATTTTGTCACCTATAAGCAGGTTTGTTTGTCGCTAGGATCAAGGGTCTATATTTAGCCATGTAAGCTAGCCACTTGTTCCGTAGACTTAAAGTTCAAGGTGAATAAAGGTAAATTTAACTTTAACTTTGGTGCCTCTTTTACATGCCTTTTGAAAGTTGGTTATTTGGTACATATAGCAATGTTTGGTACGTCCGTTTATGGTCTCTCATTCTTACCTATTACTTCAACGCCTTTTTGATTTCAAGTGACTGAGGCTAATGTTTTCTTGCTAGAAAAATATTTTCACCGATTTGTCTCTTGTCCATAGTTGAAGAATTGGGTTCCAGAATGAAGGCGCGATAGGTGTCTAGATCATGATTTTGTCACGTGGTATAAATCTAGTCTCACTAGCAGTTGCCCTTGTTACTTAGGTTCGCTCTTTGGCTCAACGGTTTTTTTTTCTTTGATGTGATATTAACGTAGACCGATAGTTCTTTTGGTTGTTCGTTTGCAATTCTATTAAGTCATTCAGAATTATTGCTAATTCTTCGATTGTCCCATGGTTGTGGTACTACCTACTGCTTTTTCTTGTTTTGGTCCATGCACATACCTTCATTCCCAACTTTCCTGCTGACTCAGCCTTTTCCGCTGCATGACATGCACACATACCCTTACCATGTCCTTCATTACAACTACTAGTAGCTAGTTTTAAATCGGCCTCTTGAACGCTCAGCAAAATATAGTCTTTTGTTTGCTCTCTGGTTAATAACACATACTAAGCCAAAGTCTTCAAAGTATTTTTGTGTAGTAGTTTTGTCAGGAGGTCAGGACACTGTAGCAATACGTTCGTGAGGTATGCAACGTGTTTGTATGGAATGCGAAGGATGGACCTAAGGCGTTTTTTGTGTTGACATACTAAGGTTTTTCTTTGAATAATTTGAAATGCAGTGGGATATGATTCAAGAATGAACGTGCAAGAGCGGTGCTGTTATTATTTGTCGAAGACAGCTGAGGAGTTAAAGGAAATTATTCGATTTTCGGGTGAACATCCGAATCTTTTGAATTTATTATCCCCTTCTGCTCTTGTTCGAAGGTACTCCCTTCTTGCACACCAGTATTGTTGTATTTGACGGTACCGTGGTCCTTTTTTAAAAAAAGAACATTGATGTCCGTTAGTGACTGGTTAGGATTGAACCCAACGCTTAGACTGCAGAGTCAACAAAGCGGACTGAGGGTGCGCATCGCAGCGCCATATAGCCTGTAAAAATGGTCGAACAAACAAAGTTGATTAAATCTATTCCCCTGCTAACCATTGTTTCACTAACTACAGGCACTATACTATTCCGTTCATCGTTTCTCTCCACCAGATTTTGTGTGAAAATTAACTAATTGTAAGTTTTTCAACCCTACCATTTGGTAGGATAAGTCGTTTTAAGTGAAAACAACTTTTGCGTTTACTGATCTAAGCCTTGTTGGTGAACTACACTTCCCTTTAATCAAAGTTGATACTGACTCAAAGCCTCGGCTAATGCTTTTATAACTGCTAGCATTCCTAGTGAGATATTGCTAAAACTAACTGAGGTATATTTCTTTGCTTTGCCTCTAGGCCGTCCTCCCATTTGCAGTGATCGGAAGCAACTGTGTGATCGAGGGCGAGGGTGGTAAGCGAGTGCGAGGCCGACAGTACCCTTGGGGCGTGGTAGAGGTGGAAAATCCCAAACATTGCGACTTTACGAAATTGCGGATTTTCCTCCTTAAGTGAGTTTTATTAGACCTTTTTTCACGTAGCTACCATCCACCTTCATTACTAAGGGAAAGATCGGCATTCCTCATGAATCTCTTCCTAGCCATGTCATATCACAAATTGTTGCCATATTTTTTTATCCATATTCCTAATATTTGGGTCTCTATGTCTTATCACCATCCAGCAATTGGATCTGTTGATTGTTGTGAAGCCACCACCTGATTTGAATCGACCGCTTTGTTTTGCTCCTTGTTTAGGATATGGATTCCGGTTTTTGGTCTTTGCGATCACTCTTCATAACCTTGACACCATGATATACAGCCATGTGTGCCCTTTTTCAAGGGCTCTATAACTTCGCCTTGTAAAGCACTGCCATGCAGATTACCAAACAATTTCAAAGTCATTTTGCGCGTGAACTTAGTGACCAACTGTTTGCCTATAATTAAACTATTATTGCTTTGTAAATGCGAATTTTAATGCGATTTATGTTATTCGTCAATGCGACTTGGAGCTTGTGCAAGTCCTAATCAAGTATCCCGCAGTTGCTATAGCCGCACAACTTTGAAATACTGACAGTTGGTTGTGATGCTATCCAAACTTCCCCTTTCAGGAGTTGCCTGCAATGACTCATTTGTCCGGTTAGCGTTATTGGCTGTGACTGTCCCTTCTAACTCCCTGTTGTCGTTTCTGTTAATGTAAATTCGTAGGGATTCATGGCGCACACTTGCCACTCGGCTACCATTGTCAAGCCATTGATTCACCTATTACCACTGGCCTTGAGATTGCCTTGTCAGCTGCTTAGCGAGCTCTCTTAGCGGAGGGGCTTGGTGTTCTTCTCTTCCTTTCGATGGTCAAGCAGATAGTACTGTAGGGTCATTGTCTTTGGACAACCAATTTGTAAGGGGGAGTCTGCATAAATGCTTCTTAGTGTTGGCTCTAGTAATAGCTATCGCCTTTGGGCTGTTCCGCAGTAAACCTTTTTAATATTAACTCTTATTGTTTCAATAGAAGGAACCTCGTGGTATAGTTGCTATAAATCAGAATTATGCATTACATAAAACTGAAATCCAATCATTCCTTGTGTATACTTTCATTTAGTTTTCTTGTCATGTCTGTTGAAAATTACGAGAACTGGAGGCTTGCTGGGGTAAGACACACCACATTGCGAATGCGCAGCATTGATCAGGTTTTTTTTGCATTCATGCAAATCCTTTCCTTTACTGTCCGTGACTCACCTCCCCTCCACCTCTGCGCTTGCCCATTACACACGAATTCGTCGTTTGCCCGATCTGCATCCCATTTTCGCACTTTCCGGATGTCATCTTTACCTGTATCGAGTCGATCGTTCGATTTGGCAACTCAATGCCGCCCTGTTGAGAGCGATTTTGAATGTTCTTTCTTCCCGTAAAGTTTCATTGTCATTTAAATTTGCTCACTTTCAATCAGTTTGCTTCAGCCTCGCAAACTCTGGTTGGTTAATGGTGTGTTCATCTCGAATTTGCCCATCCTCAGACATTTTTTGCATTAAGACCAAAGTAACGACATTTCTCAATGTGTATTGGTGACGAGTGGAACGCATTTTTGGTGTTACTGATCTCTAGCCATTGGATTCTTAGTTCTGAAAAACTGAATATATTACTACGTGGTTTTTAAAGGAGAGTCTGTATGAGGTTTTCCACTGAAAACAATCAAGCCGATATTTGCAATGTGAGGTCGTCACCTATCTCTAATTCGGAGCAGGTTGGTGGGGCAAGGCAGTTAAGTATATCGTTAATTATTTTTTATCCACTCAAGCACTATTGGACTCGTCATTGAAGCACAAAAAATGGTTCAGTTACCCATAATTTTCATTCTTTCTGCTAGGACCCATATGCAAGACCTGAAGGACATGACTCTTGAGGTGCACTATGAGAACTATCGTGCTAAGTACATAACCGAGCGGATGTCACGAAGGCAAACAGATCGACGAGAAGGCATGGGGTGAGTTGAACTTTTCGTTCTCTCTCTGTTTCCTTTTCTCTGCCATCCAATTTTTTTTTCTGCTTCAGTGCACCCCGTGCTGATCGTGAAAACGGACCTGGTTTCGAGGCCCTCATGAGTGCCGATTGCCTACTGCGTCAGAAGGAAGATGAAGTGAGTTGTGGTTGGTTTTTTCTTTGCGATCCCTACTTTTTCCATATCAGGTACCATTAGTATAGGCTTTCTACCACATTCGAATTGTGCTCTTCGAACGTGCTTTTATTCATTGGCTTCTTCCAGTTACAGCGAATGAGCGCCAAGAGTCTGGATCAAATGGCCCGCGGCAAGACGTCTGACGGTTTGCTTGCTAACCACAACGCAACAGGTATGGCCACCAATGGGGGCACTGGGCTAACTGGTCGTAGTTCTACTACCGCGGCCACTGGTGCCATGCCTGGTCCGGGTACACTGCCTCCCAAAGCCAGTCTCTCGGGTCTCTAGGTTGGTGCTCCCCAAGTCGCTTCCATCCATTTGTTGTCCGCTTTCTTTCTATCTCCTTCCTTGCCGCTGCTGGTGTTGTTATCCCTCGTGTGTCTCTAGCCTTCTCGTTAACTTTCCCTTCCTCCCACTTCTATTGCATACGACAATCACATCACTTTTAAGTGCTGCCTTTTAGAATGCAATGTGCTTTGTTATTGTTTTAAAAAGTCCATTTTGTTAATATGAAGACGTCTTTAAATTTCATTCGATTTGTTGTTTTCTGTTGTCTTGGGTTCCTATTTTACTCGAGGTTCTCGGGAGACGTGGGTCTTATTGTTTAATGATATTGTTGCGTTGGCACTTATACTGTGGGCTCGTTGTCTTTGCCCATCAAGATCAAAAGGTGGTTGAGGCACATTTGACCGGAATTCCGTATTGCCTCCCCCTTTCCCTTGCCGTTCCGATCTCGACCACATCGTTAAGATCACTACCTCAACTACGTTAGTTGTACCCATGCCCCGGTGGTGTGCGTGTTGTGGAGTCGGTGCGTCACTTCCGAGTTGGGGAATTGAAAGAATGCATTTTTAGTCAGCGTTCAGACTCTCACTGAGTGTTTAGGTGCTCACTCAGTTGCTTAAGTAGTAATGTTTTAAGTTGATTTTCGTTTGAGTATGTTGCCATTTTTACAAGCACAATATGGCGTAAAGTTGTATTCTTTAGGTCATTTTGAATAGCGTGCCATTTACTAGGCTGGAGGACTTCATTCATGAAGGTGCCAACTCCTGGAGGCGTGTTGATAATGAACAAGTTGTATTTAAGATGAAGTTAGCTCAAGTTGAGTTATTTATCAGTGGTTGGAGGCGGAGAGTTTTTGCTTAATCGAATCACCTGGTCAGCCTTTGCATCGCCCAGCGCAAGCTTTCAGGTAGCACCACGATTGTAATCACTCATCGCTGTTTGACCAATAGGCATACTTACCTTCATACGATTGGTTGGCGCCCTTGAAGCCTAGTACGTTTATTAACATAGGTAGTCTACATATGTCATTATCATGAGGACGACCGTCGAGTTCGGCCTTCTATTCTGTCTTACGGCCGTTGGACTGTCCAATGCGATTAGTACATCTGAACGAGCAGTGTGTGTAGTTGCCTCCAAGGCGAGCGATGGCACTTACGATTTCTCTTTGGAATCTGAAACTTCTCGCCTAGAGAAGCAAGGTTACGATTTCCTAATTCCTGCAGCTTCTTGGTTCAATCAGTCCCTGGATGATGTTGGGATGGCCTTCCAGACTGTCAAAACTTCTGGAGACTTCGAGGACAAGATACAAGCCTATTGGGCGGGCTTCCTCGAACTCTATATCTCGAGGGATATGACCTATGCTCAACTTGAAAACACTTTTGGTGGTAGGTTGTTTATCTCAGTTGATATGACTTAAATTTGACACTTATTTTCAACTTTCAGGAATGCAATCAGGTTATATAATACCCTCACTATGTGGTTTCAAAATTTTATACCCTTTCAGCGGAATCATGAAAAATGACTAAGGCATTTATTAGGCTTGGTTACTTTTGTACATCCAAGAGCCCGAAAAGGACGGCCTATAAGAATCTCTAATGTCTTAAAACTTATGGTGTCTTTGGCAATTTAGAGGATTTTACACTTGGAAAGTGCCTTTTGAAGTTGACACTACCTAGTTTTTCTCCCGAGAGTAATTTGAAGCCTAGAATTCTAACTGTAAAAACCAAATCTATAAACTTTATACTTGTTTACGCAAGTCCGCGGTTATTGTGGAATGAAGTCTGTGATTTCAATTTGCTCTTTACTCCCGTCATTGAAATCCGACTCCACTAAATTACGCAAGAATGCGAGGGATCCGAGTTATAGAATCTAAGTATAGAACCACTTTTACTTGATTAAAATCTACGATTTTTGAAGGCTTCTGCAAAGAAACTTCATCTGCCTGTCAAGAGCTTGAGGGTCACTTAAGGTTCAACTTGGAGATGACTATCCAAAGGAGCCTTCAGTCTGGCGATATCGACCCTTATTGGCATCAGGCAGGTCTATTCATCCCTGCTTTGGATATAAAAAACATTTTCTGCATTACACATTTTGCATCAAAATTTGTTTTCACCTCCAGATAATGAGATTCGACTGAAGATTTCAAATTATGTCCAACTTTTTTGTCCCTGCTTATTCACTCCGTTTTCCATGATGTTAAGGTTAAAGTTTTAATCCTTGTATAGCAGTTTCTTCATTATGCAACCCCATCATTATTTCCACTCTGTAATCGTTTTCTGCTTTACGATGGAGCTTTAATTCATTTCTACCAATTTTTGATCGCAGATGGAGCTTATCCTGTGGCAAATGCGTGGAATTCAAGATGCTTGGAACAACATCACGGTGAACAACTCGAAATTTTTCACAAGTGACTATTTGATGGATCTCGTAGATAACGTCTTTGACATCTAGTAAGTGAATCACTCCCACCACATTGATGTAAAGTAAAGGTAGATGTTAAGTGATTAGAAACGTACGGTGATAATCACTACTTGAGTTGTGTAGTTTTGCTGCTTTTTATAACAGTGTGATCTAGGAGGCTGTGGAACGGACTGCTATAAGTCCTAGACCAAAGCCAATAGATAGAGTTGAATAGACTGTAACGTAGCGTATCTCTCTGTGGTTTTTAGTCTTCTACAACTTGCAGTCGACATAGGTGACGTTAGCTCAGCATTAGGGGTGTATGGGGCCCTTGAGAAAGGGTCAAACGGCAAGAGCTATTTCACAAATCGGCCAAGCTGCTCTGCCCTTGTGAAGCTCTCGCCTGATCACAAGGACATTTTCATCTCTCATGTCACCTGGCAGAACTATGAGGCCATGTTGAAGGTCGTGAAATATTACGAATTCGCCTGGAGGCTCACTCGTGATCCCAGTGAGTTGCCTTTCTCTTACCTACTTCCTGCTTTGAATCTGTTTGATCACCAGAAGACAATTTTAGCAGAGGAGCTACCGAAGGTGGTCCATATTCAATGCTATGATTGTGCTTCCAGTTCTTCATTGAACTGCAATTCGGCAAATTGTTTGCTCAGTCTCCCTTATTCCCTTTGACGACAATTGTGGTAATGTGTGTTGTTCTTAAGCCTCCTCTAAGACTCGTTTAGACAAAGCATATTTCATGATGATGTGAGTCAATGTAACCATCACTGGGTTTCATCGTTAGCTGCAGGTTCCGCATAGTTTATGCATGTTTATGCCATCATTTCATGGCATCTGCTTACCTTTAAATCTGACTACTTGAACTATAAACCAAAACCATGATTTTGTGTTTTTATCTTTATAGACTCAGCAGTAATTCCAGCAAGCAAAATTCTTTTTTCCTCATATCCATCAACAATCAATTCGATTGACGATTTCTATGTGGCAAGCACTGGGCTGGTACGTCGGCTTTCCTAGCGGGACACTACCTTTCTCTTTGGTAGAGGGCACAGTTTAAACGTCAATCTCTTAACAATCGTCAAAGTTTAGTTACTAGAAGTTTATTTAATTTTACTGAATTTTTTATGAAAAAATACACTAAATTTGGGCTAAGACTTGGCAAGTTGGAGGAGTTTGAAAATCGTATTTATCTTGTTTTAGGTCATTCAGGAGACAACAAACGGTAACGAAAATCCCAGTTTATGGCCCTTTGTTCTCCATGGACTCAACAGTACCGTGTTAGGAGCCTTTCGTGTCATGATCGCTACCCGTCTTGCGCGTACTCCAAGCGAGTGGATCACCTTCTTTTCGCGGGAGAATAGCGGAACGTGAGTTCTTCTTGCAGTCAAATCCATTTCGCTAGACTTTTCAATTTGTCGTGTTCTAATCAATCTGCAACACTTGCCCAGAAATAGACACTAAAATCTGGCTAATGTGAATTCGGCATATCCCTTTCAACTGTTTACGTTTAGAGTCTTAAATTCTGAAATGCTGCCAAGACGTTTAATCGCTAGATTCGTTGGTTGTAAACACCTCTTGAATTGTAATGATTAAGCATATGGTGCCAACTCTCAAAAGGCACCCTAGATCTTTGATCGCAAAACCAAATCAAATAGTCCTCTTTGCGACATCTTGTAGTGTTACATCTGCCCACAAAGGTGGTCAATTACAAAGGTTTGCTGCACCATTGTGTTGAATAATGGTTCTTTCAGATACAACAACCAGTGGATGGTGGTAGATACGAAGCAATTCGAACCATCGAAGCCTCTTCCGAAGAAAGATCTCTTTTGGGTGGCGGAACAAATACCGTAAGATGTTCTCCCATTTCATGATCATTGTTTAAAATTTTAGTTGCAGTTTTGATTTGTAAAACTTGGACAGTTAATATGGTGGCAGGAGATGCATTTAAGCGTAAAGACATTCATTAGACTTATTAGCTTTCGTTTCGACTGGGTGGAAATCACGGATTGACTCGCATTCACATTTTAGAGGCTTGGTTCAATCTGCAGACGTTACAGAACATCTTCTAAATAAGTCCTATTGGGGAAGTTACAACAATCCGTAAGTGCCTTACTCCATTAAAACAACCACAAAATTATGCTTCAATTCAAACATTGGAACATGTACGTACAACTGGAAAACCATCAGATGAATGGTTCGTCTCCATAGTGATTTCTAAATGCATGTAAGAGGAGCTATAGCTTGACGATACTGGAGGAATTCACTTAACAGAAGCAATTACGTGGTAGCAATCTGTAACTGATTTCTACAAACACTCATTAATTTCCTTCTTATTCAGACTAGAAGCTGTGCCGGTTTGGTTTCCCACCTTGTCAATTGTATGAACTTAAGTTGATTAAAAGTCCAAATTTTTAGGTACTTCAAGTTCATTCATGAGATCTCTGGTTTTGATGATTTGGAAGAGAAATTTGGAGAATATTTCTCTTATGAAATGACGCCTCGGGCTCAAATTTTCAGACGAGAATACTCCAAGGCAGTATCTCTGCCAGAGGTCTTCCGGCTAATGAGGTAAGTCGTCGACCCTCTAAAGCCTACCATCTCAATGAATTAGTTCAACTCCTTCCATCAACGGAATAGCTAAGATGGCTGTTTTTTTGCCTCAGTGTTTAAGCATCTCGGTTGCTGTAACATTTGTCTGTTGATAGCATTTTGTCAACTTTGAATATCGCTTCAAGCCTCACTATGCATTTACACGCACTTTGTGAAAAATAAAGATCACATTATTTTAAAGTTATTATTAGCGGCCGCAGTGCCCTATAACTTTCAAATTTCTTTCATTAAATCTATAACAACACGTTTAGCTTCCGCAGTAAGGGTGGGAATGCAAGAATCGAGTTTGTGAGTGTTCAAATCAGGGCGTCAAATCCATGCACTCGCTTGATGGCTCTTGATGTTCCATCGATAGTTTGAACAATGGAAATTAGGGTCATAATGGGATACTTCTCTTCTACGATTAACTGAAGCTGTTCAAGTTGAATGGTGTAGCATCCTATTTAACGAGTCAATCAAAATCACCAACTTCAATAAGATTTTCAGTATATCGAATCAAGTCTCAGTCACTTATCTTTTGTTCTCTTCGTTCTCTTGTCTATGGTACGACCAAGATCCACGAAGCCTCCTCCGTGACAGCTACCTTGTTAAGTTTATGCGACGTAATAGCAGGTATACCATTTCACCTGATAGCGAAAGTACCTCCCCCACACTAGGTTCAATGACTTCACACACGACCCATTGTCACATTGCAACTGTACGCCGCCTTACACCGCACAGTATGCTATCTCATCCCGAAGCGACCTCAATGACCCCAATGGTGTTTATCCCTTCCCCCTCCTCGGCTACCGACTTCACGGTGCTACTGATGTCAAGCTCATCAACTTAGAATTGGCCAGATCGGTCTGTCCTGTTCTTCCTTCCTATTGGCATTAGAAAATTTGAGGAAAACATTCTGGTGGTAGCAAAAACAATGTACTTAATTCTACTTTTACAGTTGAGCATGGTGGCAATAGCTGGCCCAACCTATGACCAAGTGCCGGTGTTTGTGTGGTCAGGGGTGTGGCCGGACAAGGCGCGACCCATGATGCACCCTGAGCGTTGGGCTTTCCCCCCGGTGATCATCCAGGTGGAGAACAACCATAACTGGTGGACTCAGCCCCACCTACGAACTCGGGCTGTGGCAACATAGTTCCCTCGCACATCTATTTCGTAGTCATCAACACTGTCAGTTCGTAATTGTAAATGCGACATGACCGAGTTCGAATAAATCCTACAACTCCACTTTTGACTAAAGCCCTATTTGGAGTCGGACTAGCACAGTACTTCCTTTCCCCAAAATTAGCATAAAACCGGGGACACGAGTCTACATTGCAGATCCAGCTTCCTAGTCCTAGAAAACAATTGCGAACATAGACCACATTTTGATTGAAGCAATGGTGCGCACCGAGGAAAACCATTAGAAAGTCACAGTCGTGGATTGTGAAACCAGGTTCATCTGCGTCACATCCTTACCTCGAGGTGGCGAGGCATCGCACATCTGTAGGTGCTCGACCAACATCGAAACGAGAGTGCGCAGACACATTTGCTCCATCGCCCCACATTTCCCTGCCACAAATCGCTTCTTTCTTAGTGAGCGCGGATCAAGCACCCACGCAGGAACCAACACAACCACCAAAGTCATGCCGAGAATGAAACACGTGGTCACCTCGAGAACCCTAACTGCCGCTCCACGAGATAAGTTGTGCGCATGATGTTGAACGGAGACAGACCTAGCAAACCATCCAACACCTGCATTGACCACCTAAGCGCCGAGACGGAGACGGAGCACCACAAATGCCAGTGAAAATCAGCAGCTCTATCTACGGCGCACACTACACCTTATCGTGAAAACCGTAGAAGGGGCTGGATCGAAAACATCTGACATTCGCCACGGAAAGTATACAAGGAGTGGCAAATCCAGATCCCATATAAATATAAGGTACAAGACACAACGTGAAACTAATAAAACATTTAAATCAAAGTTTACTTCAATTAAAATGACACATGTTTAGTGAAATAACAGAAACTCAAACGAAGCATTCTTCCTCCGCGAATTCTCCATGTCGAAGGCACCGGTAGTGTGGCGAGTACCAGATCCCATCGATCGGACGCGCGAACTACCAGGAAAGGGCATCGTTAGAAACCACAAACAAATGGATCAGATGTTGTAATGCTATCACAATTCAACACAGGTCTGTAGTTCATCACCAAAGACGCACCACAATACAGAAGGATGGGCATGAAGCTAGCCGACGGTCAAAGGAAATCAGACGTTCCCATGAGTTACGACGGTGGAGTCTATCAAGCCACAGAAGACTGTTAAATCATTTAGACGAAGACAGAACAAGCACAGGTTAAATTGAGCATCCTTCAAAAAATTACCAGACAGGAACACCGGAACGGTACGCATGACTTTTGAGGAGGATGAGACGACCCCCAAAGCCTTAAAACAATGAGTGACACATTTTAAAATCAGAAATGAGGCAATGGAAGCAATCGGCAAAAGAGAGGTATGGACTAAGATCAAAAATTTTAAATAATTTTAACTCATGCAACCCAACAAGCGTAGTGGTTTGTGCAATTTTTTCAATATTTTAAAGCCATATGTTGAACACCACGAGTTGCTAAGTCGCCTTAATGTGCAATTGCAATGTCTTTTGAACATATTTTTAACAAAAAAATATTCTTTGCTCACATATACAAATAATACAAGGGGGCGGCACATATTTATAACATAATGCTAGGAAATAGAAATAGGCACTGCATGCCATTATTAACGTGAATGAAAACATGATGTCCTGAGACTTCCCATCGGGTTTTTCAAAACATTTGGTGTAGGCCCTGAACACTTCTCATTAGGTGGAAGGAGGCATTGTGTTGGTTTGATTCAATGGGTTCCTCGAGAATGAGAAGGGAATAGACAGTGGCTTGGCCGAAGGCCAGCCCGTGCGTCCAAGGGCCAGACTAATAACAAGGCTACCGCCAAACATCGGGAGGTCACATAACCAAGGTGGCATATTGCGCCTCTATTCTTTTGAGCGACGTCCTCGTCGCTCCCCTTAGTACGCCTCCCGCGACAGTTATCTCTATACATAGCCGGTTCTAAAAGAGAGCACCTACGAGCCATTCGCGTCAGTCATCATCTGCCATGAAATCAAGCAACACTACTGTAGCGTCCCACGACTTCCCATAGGGCGGAAGAAGGCAGTGAGTGAGGCTGGTTACATGTATTCCGAAGAGAGCAGAGCGAATGGGCCTGGGCATAGTCCGAAGGACAGCCCACGAGTACAAGGGCCAGACAAATACCAAAATAACTACCAGACATAATGTAGTCACGTAAACAAATAATTACATTTGGTATAGTTAAATGCTTTTATTCTGGCAGAAAAGGTTGAAACAAAGCTGTGGCCTCTCCACAAGGCCAGCCGATGTAAAAATATTAAGATGGCCGCCAAAGTGCCCACTATTTATACTGATCATCCAATAGACAAAGTATAACGTTGCCTTTCCCCTTGGTATATCTTACTCGTCGGTCATCACAAAAAACACCATTGAGTCATCAGCTTTATTTTTATCAGCTATTATGAGACTGGAGGAGTGTACTTGACCCCCTCAGCAACTTCAACTGCATCCAGAGTTATGTTCGCCTTATAAGCAAGAATCGGTAAAGGAGACCTTTGTTGAAGTTCAGTTGTGCGCAGGAACGGATATTGGAGCACCAATGGGAAGCAGATTTATGTCAGAGGAAACGGTGTTACACACAGTCCTACACGAACAGGACTCCAGTGTTATGCCACCGCCAAAATCTATGCACCAATGTGGTAAGGGGAACTCCAAAGCTAGACTTTTTGAGGTAGTTGACGGGAGTGTTTTTGCAGTTGTTACTAGTTTGTTTGGAAAACATACGAATGGGAAATGGCAGACCCAGATGCTTTTCTCAGCCCTTTTGTTATGAAAAGGTGGGAGATTCTCCCTCCTCAAGTACGCACTGTTCATTCGCACCACATAAGCCCCAGTAATATCGGCTTTGCTTTACGCAGTTACCAGTGTGGCATTCTAAGTCTTAACTAGGTAAAAGGGGAGGTGAGGAGGAGGTTGTGGCTCGAGACCATCCTGCGCAGCCAAGGGCAAAAGTAATGCTAAAGTAACCTCCGGTCATGGAGGTAGTCGAGCAGATAAATAATAGTGTCTACAGTTCCAAGTCCAAACACAGTTTATTTAAGTGTATTCTATCTTCGTGTAAGTAGTGAGGTGATACCCTTATGAATGATGGTCACTTTGGCAACTATTTCGGTTCTGCATCGTGGGCTTGTCTCTGCGTCGAGCTAAAGTCCAAACATTTCCTCTTCTCCCCAACTACAAGTGCTCAACCTTACTTAATGTCTCCCTCTATCTAGTACGAAGTCTCAACAGGTCACAACCGCTATGCGGTATAGGCTTACATGCAACGGCTGAGCCATAAATTGACACCGTAATTGTAGGCTGAGTTGAGGGTTGAGGCTTCAACATGGGCTGATGACTAGCTCGCCTCACAGATAGCAGCACAATATGATCGGTACGTTTACAGGCTAGTAACTAAGCTATAGATAATATAACCTCTCTCTCCTTTTAGGAAAGGGCGGTGGGAAGGGCGGTTAAGCGCAATGTCATTGCCAACACTAATACGCAGATATTGTTTGGGAAACACTGAAGCGAAGCCTTTCCAAATGGTTAACAGCGATTTGAATTAGGCTCTCTATGGCCTGTTAGTAAAAGACGGAATATGGATGAGCGCCGAATATAGATACCATTCTCAGACCTTATGGTCGAAATGTGCGCTCTTAATTCCTTCCGCAGAATTATATCGCAAAACATGAAAATTGAACTTGAACTTTTAACAAAGTTGGTTTACTTTCGGCTGCTACAGAAGTAGCGTCCTGAAATTCATCATTAGGTAGTAGAAAGCATAAGAATCGGCTGGATACTTGTATTCAGTCGCAAAGGGAGGGGATGAGGCTATGGTAGGGTCTTGATAAAAATGTATCACAGAAATACGGAAGAGCTTAAGCCACTACCAAGTGTTGGAGGTTTCATTGCAGAGGTTTACGCGCATGCGTTAACTGACGCCGAGCTAAGTGAAATATCAGAGCGTTACAGGCACCCGCACTGTTGTATTAATAACCGAATGTTTCGACGGTTGATTATTTTCACATTATAGAATTCAAAAATTGAGATATACAAGAAGGGTACCATTTTTCAGAACGAAATCAAAGTACTGCCAAAATAGACAGTAATAGTGACAATGAATGTTTATACGTCCTTCCATGAAAACTGAAATTGCCTAGTTTAAACCGTCGGCAGCAGTTTAAATACTATCAGCTGCACAAAATACCCTGTTTTGGCATGGTTTCGCGGCTACTTTTACACCTGTTCTACGCAGTTTTAGTGGGTATTTTGACAATACAAGGAATTTACTCCTGAGGAAGGTTCTAGGCTGGAATCAGAGGACAAAGAAAGTGGCTCGACGAAAGCTGATGCCAATGATTTTTTTGTCACCTCATTTCGCGGTGCTGCTTCGGTTACTTTATTGTTGATTTGTTGTTAATGCGTTAGAAACGAATTTCTGCCCTCAATTGGTGTACCAACTTTGTGCATCATTATGACATCCTCATTTATGTATTGTCTCCTTCATTTGAGGCTATGACTGACTTTCGTTTGTTTGTTTGCTATGTTACAAAGAATTAGTTACAATTATGATAGATTGAAGAAGATAGGCCAATGCAAAGCCTTACTAGCCCTCTTCCCTTTCCAAGGGTCTCAGCTTAGTGACATAATTGCCTTGACGTGACGCCTTCACCCATTTATCTTTTAATTTGCCGCACGTGCAGCAATAGCAGAGGTAGTCAAAGCCATGTCTGTAACTCATTTTGTCAATGCGTGACCGTGAGCTTGGAAGAGGAGATGGAGGAGATAGGGAGAGGGGAAATGGAAGAGGCAAGTGGCAGTAGAAGTACGTAGCCCGCATCCCATGGGGTGTGAATGAACATTGGAGCACTGGCCAAACAAATTTGAGACGCGATTTTTCTGACCACTTCAGTAGGTCTTATGTCGTAGTGTTTAACTTTGGCCTTTACCGGCCAAAATTAATTCCAGTCACGTGCCAAAGAAGTGGATTAAACTAGCACTCAATTCAGAGAAAATTGGAGGCAGAGTTAAGCGAAGGTTATTTATTTATTTTTGGCATATCTCAGTTACATTGCATTGTTCAGCTTAATGAAGAGTAAATAGTTTGTAGCCGCAACACCCATTTGCACTTCATTAAAAATGTCTCCACCTCAGCCTCCTCCTCCAAACGCACGCGCCCACACGAAGGAGAGGCTTAATGGCGTGGTGGACGTCATAAAAGCGAGAGCTGTGTGGAAGGTGATTGGATCATTTAGAGATGGCAGATGACACGCATCATTACTTAAATGTGAACTACCAAAACTAGGACTATTTTACGTTCTAGTAATGCAAGAGTTGAAGAACGATTTTGAGTTTACTCAAGCGGACGTTGGCCACGCCACACTAGACACTCCGATATGAGTATGTGGCAGTTGTTCAGCCATTGCCAAATGTTCTACAGATGACAAGACCACATAAGCTTCACATTTTTATCATTTTCTTAAATGATTCCCCACATTACTCTCAACTCCCTATTGAATTGTTTGGATGGCTAGCAACGTGCCATGGCGGTATAAAATACTGTCTTTGTACGTTGCATAAAAAATGACTGTGAAGGTTGCAGAGATCAGTTTTGATTTGAGTATCAAATGCGGAATATTGCAATTGCTTTATCTTATAAGTCATGATAAACTGTTTGGCTAGTTTGCACATCTACTAGACATTCCACAAAAAAGTGGCCATCACAATTGGTACTTGTAAAGTAAGTGGCTTTAATTTGAAATTTCAAAATCACAAGTGATAGACGAAGGTAGGAGCGTGAGTTGTTGGCAAAATAATCACGAGACTACGTTGCCCTGCGAAACTGCGGCACTGTGCCTGCGCATTTTAATGCAATTGAACCCTAAACCATAGATAATGGCAAAAGTCGGCCTTAATGTTGACCTTTAAAAAAAATAAATAAGGGGTCATGTATATATGGCCTTCCATTGG